TTTCATCTTTCGAAGATGAAGTTCCCGCCTCCGCCGACGGAACATCCCGTGTAGTCACCGGAGTTGATGGTTTCGGCTGTTTCGCGGGCCGCCGTTGCCGTTTACGGAGGCAGAGAATGAGGATTAAAAATAACAATAACGCTGCAAACGCAGACCCCACGGCAATGCCAATAATGGCGCCAGTGGAAAGCCTCCTGGAGTTTCTACCGGAAGTTGTGGGTGGAATGGGCTCGGACGGAGATGGCGCCGGGGAGGGAAGAATGGGTTACACGGCGGTAGTGGGCCTCCACAAAGAGCAAGGTTTCCGGCAAATGAAGATGCCGGGAATTTTGATAACGAGCCGGGAATTGAACCGTTAAGGTTGTTATTAGCAACATTGAAATCATTCAAACCATCGGAGTTGATGCTCGGGAGAGAACCGGAGAACGTGTTGTTTTGCAAGAAGAGTCGGGTCAGCTGAGTTAAATTGTTGACGGCGAAAGGGATTGGACCGGTGAAATTGTTGGAAGAAATATCGAGCCGTACCAAGCGAGTTAAACGAGTCACACTAATTGGGAACGAGCCGGTTAACTCATTACCTTGCAGGTAAAGGCTACGGAGGATAGTCAAGTTGGAGAAGTCGACAGGAATCCCACCGGATAAACGGTTCGCTCGTAGACTTAAAACCCGAAGTTGGCTCAACCGACCGATTGTGTTGGGTGGAATAGAACCGACGAGACCCACACCCGGGAGACGAAGAGTGAAGACGGAAGAGCGGTTGGCGTCGCATTCGACGCCGACCCAGTCGCATGCTGAAGTCGAGGAGTTCCATTGAACCCGGTTCTCGTGCTTGGTTTGTGAAAGGAAAGCAAGGAGAGCTTGCTTGTCTTGAACGGGTTCGGAGTTCACTCCAAAACTTAGTATCAGAACAGAAACTAGGAAAACAGAAACAAAATTTATCATCATTTGGGGTTTGAATTGAAAAATGAAACACAAGAAGTAATGAGGAAAGAATGGTGCGCTAATTGGCTGTTGTGTCGGCCGGCGGCTGGCTAGGACCGGCTTGGACAGAATTGAAGATGATTTTCCGGCGAGAACCCATAAAAGAAAGAGAAATGGAGAGTGAGGGCAGGCGAGGCTTTCTAAGGTAATAAGGTCTCACGAGTTTACAAAGGTAAAAAGAAAGTTGAAATAGTAGGATGGGAACCCTTTTACATTCTTTTAATTATTGTAATGCTTTTTTATTACATACGTCTCTATAAACTATGATGATTATAGAACAAATTTATTTAAAATTTTATTAATCAATTAAAAAACGAATGTGTATATATCTTAATGTAATTATTTAAATTAGATAATTTTATTAAAAAAAATAACATTTTATTCTATCAATGGATCAAGTTCATTATTATGATATATAATTTTTTTTAGAATTTCACGCGTTGAATTCAAAAGGTTTGGTAATTAAAATAATGTTTCTGTTTCCGGTGCTGTTGTTTTAAACCCGCGAACGTATGCGCGTTGAGTTTGTGCAATTGGATTATGGTGTTCCTCTTGCTTCAGATTGCTCCATGTGAGAGCGTGAATGATTATAGTGATGGAAGGGTATGTGGGTTCCGGCTGTATCCACTTTGGCTTCAAGTGTGAGTCGGCGTATCATGTAAAGGGAGTGGATTCCACGCATACAAAGAGCGTGGTGGGGAATTCGTCGACTTTTCTCTTTAGCATAGGCCAGACTTTGATCGTATTGGATAGGCCCGGAATGTATGGCCTACTCTCTACTACCGTAGATGATGATTCTTCACACTGTCCCAGTCCTCCTGATGTTGGGTTTTATCAGAAATTTATTGGTACAATTAACTCTGAGCCGTTGGATCGATGTAAAAAACTATGATACGATAGTTTATTGTTGACTATGGAAGTTTGATTTTGTTTTTTAAAAACATTTAAAAATTGATTTGAAACGCATATCAAAGGAGAGTGTGAGAAGTCAAAATATGAATGAAAATGCTACGCTCGTACGATTCGTTTTAAATTTGTTTGAAATATACTAGTTAGCAATAAAGTAGTGCAAAATTTGAATTTGACGACCAACTAGGCAACAAAAGTAAACCCTAGTTTGACATTGTATGAGAGGAAGACATTACATGCACGCACGTATATATTATAATCTTTTTTTATATCTTTCATGTTTATTTGTAAAACTAGTACTATCATTTACAAATTTATTATAAGCCGACAACTTTTTACTTTTACCTTCCAAATAAGCTATTAGAATTTTCTAATATTACGTGCTTTAACTAATTAGCAATACACATTTTTTACAGACATAATTGTTTGAATTTAAAATCACTATAGATAACAACATTTTTTTATCATTGAGACTATTTGATGAGTTCAACCATTAAAATTTTGGGTAAAGTATACAAATGATTCCCCGACTATAGGGTATTGCTTTGTTGAGTCCCCTAACTATTGAAAGTTATAAAATAGTCCCCTGATTATAGGATGTTATTTTATTGAGTTTTTTGACTATTAAAAGTTACAAAATGGTCACCCGACTATTCATATGTTCTAGACTCGTCATTTTTCGTTAAAAAATCGGTGGTTGTCTGAGTTAGATGTTAACCTACTCACTGAAATATGATAAAATCTAGTCACCAAACTTTTTGAGTTGTATTTTGTGGGTTAGTCTCTGTTTACATTATAGCGTTGAGTTGGAGCTTGAAATATTATGTTGTCAAGTTAGTGCTTGATAGTAACAATGATACTGATAGACATTGATGATTTTATCATATCTAATTAACGGGTTAACGTCCAGTTTAAATGACCATCGTTTTTTTAACGAAAAGTGATGAGTTTGAAACATGTGAATAATTATATAATCATTTTATTATTTTTAATAATCAAATGACTTAACAAAATAACATCCTATAATCAGGAAGAATATCATTTATATATTTTACCCTACTATTTTAAAACGTCAAAAATTCATTTGAAAAAGAAAAGGAAAAAACAAAACAAAAGTTAATAACATTTTATCAAAAGATAAAATGATTTTACTTTACTTTATCCGAGCTGGAGCATTTGCGGAATTCTTTCGAATCCATAGCGTCTGCAACTGCAACTGCGACTGCGACGACCCTGTCAGCCAATAATAATTGGTACAGCCAACACTTTACTTTTTCTGGGTGCATCCATGACTTTTTGACTCAGCATTCCCCACTTGTTTTCGTGCCCCTTGGCTTCATTCAAATACTTTGATCAACAAGTGAGAATCACACTATAGAAGATCTTACACATGGCGTCCACTACGCTGTTTAACACCCAACATGCATTGAACATCCAATGGCTATGATTTTCCTACTCGAGCATGTAAATTTGCACGTGCAGGCCACTCTTGATTATCCAAAAGAACGCAATATGCCATGTATAACAAATCAGGGGTAGAAGAAAAAATGTGGGCATTTATGCTTGTAAGTTGTGGTGCTGTCATCCTTCCTTTTGGCCTTTACCTTGTTGGAGTTAAGTAATGTAACCTTGAGTTGGCAGCATAATTAGAGCCTTAAATCCAACTGCTCGGTCGAGCAAGGGTTGACAGTCAACGGATAATCCAAGTGACCCGAAGGGCCCTAGTCTTCTCTTCGGCTGTCGCTGGCCATACATGTTTACTTTATGCTCAACCCACTCTTGCACTAAACACATGGGGACCTTTGGCTTTTTGGTTTCTAAGCTTTTTTGTCACTCCTTATGCCCCCGATCCATGGTTTTACGTTTTCCGATTACATGGACCGGTGTTGTCGATGCGACTTGTCATAAATGGTTATGGTACGCAAGCTGTAAGCCCCAAAAGTTATTAGCTAAGTGTATGTAAATCTTCTGTGCGTGGCATGTCTTAATCTTTAGAATATGAAAGACAATAGAATGAGGTAAATCTATAGAACGCTAAATTGAAGTTTTATCATTCTTTCATGGCCAAATCTCCCGTGCATGGTATATTATCTAAATGTTTCACATTTTAATATTTCGGTATTTTCATACTATCGTTAATGCGATTAGTTTCAAGATATTTTATCGTTCTTCTCGAAAGAATGATTCTCATTTTTCAAATTTTTGAACAACCACCCAAACTTCTAGAACTGAGAAAATTTAAATGAGATTTTTTTTTCTTAATCTTTATCACCTTTTGTGTTGGAGAGTGCATGAATTGGTGTCATCCACACGCTGGAAAAGGACGAACGGTCAGCTGAAACAGAAGAGAAAGCAGTGGCGGCCACAAAGGAAGAAAGCGAAAACACAATAAAAAGGTGAAAGAAGCTGATGCAAGTGAAGTCAGGAAACGAAAATGGTTACTCAACGAGAAGGCAATCGAAAAAGCAGGTAAGCTTTTCCACTCTTCAAAGCCTGCCGTGAATGTAGCAGAACAAGCAATTAATGGAGGAGGATAAATCACTAGCACAAACAGACTGGTATTTTCCCATGCTCTCTTCGCTTGCCCTCGAGCCTCATCACCCAACCTGAGCCCCTACACTGTTTTATTTTCATTGGTTTCATTAATCCAAAACAATGGCATATGCTTTGAGCTTAATTAGAAATGTGTTTAAACTCAATGAATTATATTTAGGTTGGATCAAGTTGAATGTAACTTTAAACCTTAAAAATTAGATCGAATTTTAATGTGAATAGATGAATTTAATTTTTTAAATCAGATTCAGATGGATTAAAAAAAACTCGACCGGACCTTATGACCATCCCTACCTCTGCCCAATCAGGTGTACATCGACAAAAACCTATCAGTCTATAACCGGACAGAATCACAAGTCAGCAGCAACAAGTTGATGCCATAACCAATAAGCAGCAGCAATTTGGACGAACCCATTCCGTGAACACATGTGGTTCCTCGGTTTACACGTCATCTGCATTTATGATTTTTGTCATCCTACTTTGGATTGGGCATATCCAGTGTGACCAATAACACATTACTCCAAAGAAGAAGAAAAAAAACCCTTTCACTCTCGAGGGATAAACCCAAGTTTTTCTCAGCACTTTCACCCATCTCATAAACTCCTCCGAAAATCTTTTTTTTTACTGAAGCGTTTAAAGATGGCGACTTTGTCTAGGTTTGTTGTCAAAGATTGTAATCTTCATAAATACGGTGCGGTATATAGAGGACCATCGTCTTCGATTTCATTAAGAACACTACAGGCAGCTCATCTGGGTATGTTTTCATTTGTGTTTTGTCTTTAATTGCTTGTTTTATCACATGGGTTTAGTTCAATTTTTTCATATGAATCTGTAGATGTTAGAGCAGGGATTTCTTTGCCTGAGAATGTAAAAGGTTTGTCAATTCAAAGCAAGCCAAGTAGTCCCCTTGTTGCTCTATCATCCCCTTCAAGGTGGTTTCTAAGAACAAAATGTTTGATTTAATTGAATTTTTGTGTGCTTTTCTTTTAGTATCGAGAATGATCTGATCTCTATATCCAGGAATCCGAAAGTTATCTGCAATGCTGCAGCCAATGTACCCGGAGATGTTCCTACCCCGAGCGGATTGAGCCAGTACGAGAGAATAATCGAAACTTTAACGACTCTATTCCCCGTCTGGGTGTGTATTCGATTTTGTTAGTGTATTCAATTGTACTCTAGCGGATTTTTTAATCTTCGGTTTTACATTATAACTTTAAATCACATAACAGGTTATTTTGGGAACTGTTATCGGCATATACAAGCCGGCTGCGGTAATTTTTGGTCCTCTGCTGCTTTTAGTGAATGGTGATTCAAACGTTTGCTTAGACATCTAACCATTTAGTTCCCCTGATGAAGGTTACATGGCTGGAGACAGACCTATTCACAGTTGGCCTAGGTTTCCTCATGCTTTCAATGGGACTGACGTTAACCTTCGACGATTTCAGACGCTGTCTACGGAATCCATGGACTGTAAGGCAAAAGTATTCGCTATGAATATGATATGAGTTAGTTTACTGCTGACAAAACAGATACGGTCCGGTTTTAGTTTCGGATAATAGTATTAACTTTCAATTTTGCAGGTAGGTGTAGGATTTCTTGCTCAATACCTAGTCAAGCCTATGCTAGGATTTGCTATTGCAATGGTAATTTGAGATTTGCTTTTGCATCAATACTTTATTGAACTATGATGTCCTTTGTATTATTTGATTTGTTTTGTGGTATAATGGTGAAAACATTTTACTCTATGAATATACTTCGAAATATTCTGATAAAGAGGTCGGTCGAAGATTGCAGAAAATAAGAGAAAAGTTGTCCCGAATTTGGCTTTTGACATGAAAGTCAATGTACTGTAGATTGCATTATATAGAATGTGATTTATCTTCTCTACAGTGTTTTCTTGTTGGCTTGCATGAATAAGTAAATGATGCAAGGCATCTATGTGATTTTCAGACTCTGAAACTGTCCGCTCCACTTGCAACCGGTCTTATTTTGGTCTCATGCTGCCCTGGTGGTCAGGCGTCAAATGTCGCGACCTATATCTCTAAGGGGAATGTAGCACTTTCTGTTCTCATGACAACGTAAGATCAATGCTTTTTTTTTTGACAGAGTAGCCTTGTGATCTTATTTACATTTGATATTATATCCCGGAAGTACCTTGCCATGAAAAACTACCTTCTGAGTTCTGAGCAAGAAGGGCTTTGTCAGGTTTTCTACAAAATCTCATTTGTGTGTCGGATTGACAATTCATGTATGTTCCCGAGATAGGGGAAGCAGGATTGGTAAAGAACTCGTAAGAGTTTGTTTGTGATATGTTTGTTTGAAAAATCCACTCTTTTCACTCATCATGCAAAGGAACTATGCACATTGTATCCTCTATTTTCAAACAATAGTGAGGTTTCTCAGAAATGTTTTTTATTGGGTTATAGTTTGACCTGCAAGATGATATGATACCTAATCGAACAACTTGCTTTGGATATGCATTACTTTTGTATTTAAGCATAATAGCATTTGACAATGATTTAAAGCATATTCAACGATTCCCAAACTTGAAAGTTCTTAATTCCTCTGGAATTTCTGCAGGTGTTCAACTATCGGAGCAATAGTTATGACACCACTCCTCACAAAGCTTCTTGCTGGACAGCTTGTTCCTGTTGATGCTGTGGTACGTTTACTCTTATTTGGAGGTCGCCTTTACCGATAAGTGGCAAATACATAAAGCATGAAACAACTTACATTGTAGAACTCAAACGCCTATTCGACTAATGTAAGGAATGTGTTCCCTAAAATCTTTGCAGGGTCTTGCCATCAGCACTTTTCAGGTCGTGTTAGTACCAACGGTTGTTGGAGGTAACTATGAACTATTTTTCTTATCCGTTCTTATCATTTGTACTTCAATTATCTTTAAGTATAAAGAAATTTGGCTTATTTGTGGCAGTGTTGGCCAATGAATTCTTCCCAAATTCACTTCAAAGATAATCACAGTGACACCATTAATCGGAGTCATTCTCACCACTTTGCTTTGTGCAAGCCCTGTAAGTTATCAAGATTCTTTCATGCAAAACTTTATTATCTGTACTTTGCCATTTCTTTTGAAAGCCTTTTTTCCATACATAAAGAGCTCACATTCGATGTCCTCTCGATGCTAAAGATCGGTCAAGTGTCTGAAGTGTTGAAAACCCAAGGAGCTCAGCTAATATTGCCTGTAGCTCTCCTACATGCTGCTGCATTCGCCCTTGGTTACTGGATTTCAAAATTATCATTCGGGGAATCCACTTCCCGTACCATCTCCATAGAATGTGGAATGCAGGTATCCATAGAAATATTGTTTTGGTGTTTTTGCACTCGGATATTCTTATTGCATCTCTCGGTAGCATTCTCTTATATCCGTGCATGGTTTCCGATGCACAGAGTTCGGCGCTCGGTTTCTTGCTTGCCCAGAAACATTTTACCAATCCCCTAGTAGCCGTTCCTTCTGCAGTTAGCGTTGTTTGCATGGCCGTATGAGTTTTCTTTCACTCGTCTCCATTTCCATACCTACATAAAAAAAGACAGGCCCTCTAGCATTATCTTCAATTGACATTGTCATGTATTTTGTTTCATGTAGCTGGGCGGGAGTGGCCTTGCTGTGTTATGGAGGAACCGACCAATTCCTGTGGATGATAAAGATGATTTCATGGAATGACTGCTTTTTCAACTTGTAATTCTTTTCTCAATCTCATCAATAGGGATTGAACCTTGATATTTGGGTGCCAATATCAAGAATTTTCATTATTGGTTTCATATATCTCAAAACTTTATCCCGTACTCGAACCTTAAAACTTTTATCCAAGACTCGAATTTTCATGTGAATGGAGTAAATTAAATTGAAAAGTTGTTTTATAATAAACTTTTACGGTACTCAATTAAGAATAATTGGTCAGTAAGTTAAATACCAATGATTATATTAAAAAAAGTATGATCTTATTTACACATTTTTGGTAATAGATTAAGCTTAGAGATGAGATAGGCTGATATATTGTCGAGTTCACATAAAGACTAATTTGATACAATATAAAAGTTGCGAGGACTAAAACTGTTATATATCATCATTTCTATCACATCAACGGTCAAACATAACTGCAAATGGGTGATTTTAGGAAAAAAAATAGTAACTAGTGGTTAAAACAGAAATTTATAAATAAATTAGTGAGTAGATAAATAATTTATCTTTAATTTTAGTTTTGAATATAATACTAGTACTGTATAAAAAAAGAATGTGATAAATAGTTAGGGGCTAATTATTAATTAGTATTTAATAGCAAACACAAATCCCTGAGAAAATAAGCTTACAACTGAGAAAGTCACATAAATATTATACTTTTAATTAGTTTCCCTCCAATCTGGGAAGATAAAAAATTAATTTCCCTCCAAAATGATTTTTTTTTTACAAATAAAGCTAAACCGTCATTAACTTCTTGAAGAAACAGTTTATGTTCTGATTAATTTAATCTATAAAAAATTATATATAATTAATTTCTCGTTTGATTGAAAACCCATTTCTTTAGAATTCCTGACCATTTCCCTTGCATTGTTTAGGGCTTACGGATTTTAAGGACTTTCCTTTTTTTTCCCTGGGGATTTAACCTTCAAAAAGAGAGAAAAAGAACAACAATCATGTCGCAAACAAACTGGGAAGCTGATAAAATGTAAGTTGTCTTCTGTGTGCTTCTGCTGTTTTTTGCCTACTGGGGTTCTTTTATTTGTGTTGAGTTTTAACTTCATTATTTAAGTTTCCATTTTGTTCATCGACCTTTGCTTTTTTATTGTTTTGGGTTGTGGATGAAGTTAGCACAATATAGTGATTTAGGGGTTTGTTCAGAGATAAATGAAAATGTTTTTCTTTTATTTCCCTTTTTAATGCTCCCATTGGTTTATTTTTCCACCTTTATTATTTAGAGTTCCTGCATTATTTAGTAACATATTGTTTTTTGGCTAATGAAGGTTTTTCTTTATATTAGGGTTTGATGTTCTGAATCTAAATTTATTACCTTTTACTGTTTGTTAAAATCTGAGAACTGAAATTTTAATGTTTATTCCTTACGAGCACAGGTTGGATGTGTATATATATGATTACCTGATGAAGAGGAAGTTAAATGCTACTGCGAAGGCATTTCAAGATGAAGGGAAAGTGTCAACTGACCCAGTAGGTATGACATGCTAAAAAAAAAAAAATCTTGCGAAGAAAGATAACTTTGAAAAATAGCATTTGGAACTTAATGATTCTGTTATTTAATGTGCTTTCCAGCTATTGATGCGCTGGTGGTTTCTTATTCGAGTGGTGGTCTGTATTTTGGGACATATTCATCGCAAGGACTAATGAGAAGCATTCAGAAGCTGCTTCTTCCTACATTGAAGTGTGTTGCCCACTTGTCTAGCTCTCTCTGTTCTTGCATATAAATTACTACATTTGTTTGTGGAAAAAGGAACTTCCTGCATGCTGTAACAACGTGGGTTTGTTTTGTAATTGATACTGTTATATCTTCTTCTATGGTATTGTCTTGCTTTTTGTTTGGATTGGAGTCTCAATTTAAGTAAAGAGTCAACACAAGGATGGCCAATTTTAAGGAGCAAATGTGAAATGGATCATATCTTATTAATTTTATTTGAATTCTTTTATTCATGTCAATAGTCATTTTACAATTGCTGTTTTCTCTGAGTTAGTTTAGCAAGTTTGCTTTTTAATTAAATTGTTAAAGAATGGCAGATTCAAATGGTCAAAGCTCGAGAGGTGCAGCAGCAGCAGCAGCAACTGTATCAGAAGCCTCAGCAGATGCAGATGCAGATGCAGCAGCTCTTATTGCAGAGGCAAGCTCAGCAGCACCACCAGCAGCAGCAAAGAGAAGGGACTCAGTTAGCAAATGATGCTGCGAATGGGCTTCTTGGTGAACCTCACATAAAGGAGAGCACTGCAAGTGCAATTGCCGCCACAGGAAAGATGTATAATGAGAATTTTAGGTTTCCACGCCAAAGGGATTCCTTGGATGATACAGCTGTGAAGGTACATTAGCTTGATAAGAATTGATCCCACCCTTTTTCGCCCATTCTTGCATTTTTTTTTACATCAGATAAATTGCAGCAACCAGGTGGTAATATGGGCCAGCTTCTGGATCCTAATCAAGCTTCAATGATGAAAGCAACCTCAATGGTTGGCCAGCCACCTGGGTACTTCTCAATTCTCATGTGGTCTTTTTGTGTTAAAAGGATCATTTATTGTTTTCATTAGTTGCTTTGTCATGTTTGTGCTGTGTAAGAACTGTTAGTGATACATACAGGCATACACTGCATGGTACACCTGGAAATATATCAGGAAGTCTTCAGCAAATGCAAAATCGAGGTCAGCAGATTTCAGTGCCCACCCAGGTAACTTAATTGTTTTTTATCCTTTTTGTATATATTATAAAGTTTGGAACTCGGATTGCAGTTTCTGTTTTGGCCTTAAAATAATATTGGTTGTTTTATATACCGTATGCTGATGCAGGATTCAAGGAGTGAGATCAATTCAATGTTGACTCCAAGAGCTGCTGGTCCTGTTGAATCATTAGTTGGAGTTCATGGTAAAATTCTCACCTCAGGAGAGTTTTTTTAAGGTATAGATTACCGCTTTATTTAACTCATATTTGTACATTTGTACTTAAGGATCAAATCAAGCTGGTGGCAATTTGACACTGAAAGGATGGCCTTTAACGGTAAGTCTTTTGACTTACATTAGTTATGAAATTGGTATTTCCTCCATATTCACAATTTCACTTACTTGCTGCAAACGAACAATATTGAGTTCATTGTATGGTTTTTATTACAAAAATAGGAGCCATGCAATGAATAAAAAACAAGTTCAATTTTGGGGATCTCTATTGAATAAATCATTGTTTGGTTGTGAAAGACAATGGACGTGTTTGCTAAATGTTGGAATATCTTGTGTTAGGGTTCTCTATTGAATAAATCATTTGTTAAGCACTTATGTATCTCATCCTGGATTTTCTGATTTCCTGTTAGGCTGTAACTAATTGCCAGTACTTTGGATAATAAAACATGCTCTAGTTTGCTTCAAGAGAAGTTTGTTGTCTTGGTTGAATGGTTTGTAATGGATATGCGTAAACCCTGATATTGTGTCTTATTGATAACTTATGAAACAACTTTGTCGAATGGACACAGGGAAAAATGATTAATTTATATGTATAATTATAGTCCACGGAGGTAAATCTTGCTATTTCTAAATCCATCTCGTGGAAAGTAAAGTGGAGTAGAACAATTGAGATGCTTTAACTTTTTATCTATGGTTGAAATCCGATTATAATTGTTGATACTGCTGCATAAAATGCGTATCAGATTTGATTTGTGGGGTTGTGTTCAAAATTTTATTCATACGTTACGGTAAACGTAATAAGCTTGCAAGATTTATGTATGGGTTTCCTTGTCTAATAAGTAGCTTACCAATTATAGGGACTAGACCAACTTCGATCTGGGCTTCTCCAGCAGCAGAAAACTTTAATTCAGTCCTCTCAGCCCTTCAGTCAGCTTCAGCTACAGCAACAACTTCTCTTTCAAGCGCAACAAAACTTGTCATCCCAATCAGCAAATGATTTCGAAAGCAGAAAAATGCATATGCTTCTAAACAATCAGATTATGGGTCTTGGGAAGGATGGCCAACTAAATTCTCTCGGTGATGTGGTTCCCAAAGTTGGATCACCCTTGCAAATTGGTTCTCCTGGGCTGTCTCATGGGGATGTCGATATGTCAGTCAAGGTATTTTTGTCTGTACTGCACAAAGTTGACAATTGTTGTTATTCTTGATGCTCTCATTACATTTGAAGCTGTTGTAGGCTTGTAGCTTCCTCACACTTGATAAATGGTGTTAATATTTTGCAGTTACAGCAGCAACAAATGCATCAAAATCATCAACAATCACAACAACTTGCACAAAATCCACTTTCAAGTCAGCAGTCTCAGAATTCAAATCCTCACCTCCAGCGGCAAGATAAAACGGTTGGTACCTGCAGAATGATGCCTGATAGTAGCATATCTAACACCTTTAATGGAAATGACCAGGTTTAACTTTTACTGGGATTGGGCTGTTAATCAAGCTATCAATATGTCATTTTCTATTTTTTTTCCTGTTTTAATGTTTGTAGATTATTCATTCTCCCAAAATATATAAATGTTTTAAAAGATATACGTGATAGGTATGCATTTTGACCTTTGGATTCTTTCTGATCTATCTCATGCTCTGGAATTGGATTACCGTAACCAGCATTTCAAATCAACATCCTGCTATGCCGGCATTTTTAACTTAGTATTACATTTTTTTTATTAAGGCTTCAAAAAATCAAGGTGGCCGAAAGAGGAAGCAGCCAGGGTCATCATCAGGTCCAGTCAATAGCTCAGGAACTGCAAACACCACTGGACCATCTCCAAGCTCACCTTCTACTCACACAGCAGGAGATGCTATATCAATGCCCACTTTGCCCCATAATACTGGTTCCTCCAAGTCTTTGCTTATGTTTGGCTCTGTTGGTTTGGGTTCCCTTACATCAGCTCCTAATCAATTGGTAAAGCTTCTAACCATCTTTTGATTAACATCTTGTCTTGCTTTTGTATTTTCTTCAAAGTTCTTATTTTTCTGCAGTGCTGAAATTTAGATTTTGGCTCTTTTAGTTTCTATGGAAAGTTCCTGGAGCAAATGGCTTGGCAACCTAAGTGTATATATAGTATGCTTATTCTGATTTTGGTATCACCTATAGGAAGCAGGAAATATAGTGTATCTTC